CAAGAAGAGGGCACCAGATCTCATTATAGATGGTTATGAGCCACCATGTGGCTGCTGGGAACTGAATTCAGTACCTCTGGAAGAGCAGTCAGTGCTCTTAACCTCTGGGCCATCTCTCCATATCCAAGCTCTGGGTTCTTAACTCTTTCAAAATTAGCAACCTTGCCATGAGACTACACATGACCATGTGAACCAAAATCCAGTCCAGGCACAAATCCCTTCTTATGAACAGCTTTGGAATTGGATCTCTAGATTTTCATGGTGAAAAAGCTTGTATCTAGTCCTTAATTTCAGCCTATTTCCTAAATGACTTTAGGAACTCATAACTTGGGAATATTATAGTAGTCTTTAAAGCCACTGAGGATGGGTGTTAGGGCTCTCTTAAGGCTTATTAGGGAGACCTATCTCCTCAAGGACAGAAGAATTGAGTATGCCTACCTTAACAGCTAGTCTAGCTGGATCTGTCAATCACCTGGGCATGATACCACCCCTCAAGAAAACTGGTTCATCTTAAGCCATGGTAAGGAGGTGGAAGGAATAATTGCCCCCTTAATGAGATAATCTACTTATTCAAAAAACAAATCTTGCGCAAATGCTTACAGAGCTTCCTCATGTAAGACTGAGGAGAAAGCCTACTTTTCTTACTCAGGAGTATAAATTTTTCTCTTACTTTCTCTTTGTCTAAAACTTAGTATGCTTTCCCTCGGATTGCTCACTCCTTCTCTAAAAGCTCTCAGTGGTCTACTGCATTGTGGCTGCTTACAAATGGCATGTCTTTCTCTCTTCCCCCTCAATATTCCTCCAGTTGGGAAGATTTATAACTTGTCTGATCTGTTGTTTTCCTCTTAAACTGCAATAACATTGTCTTCTGGGTCTTTTGTTTGTTTGTTTGTTTGTTTATTTGTGTGTGTGTGTGTGTGTGTGTGTGTGTGTGTGTGTTTCTAAATTTAAATAAGGAGACTAAGAACCCAAAAAAGGAAATCCCAATTGTGATGGGGCCCTACAAATTTTCTGGTAACACAACCACATTCAAAAATGTCCAATTCCTGTGTGCATATTAGGTGATGAGTATTGTAATTACAGAGTAAGTCAAGTGATACTTTTTATAAATAAAGTTGTTTCTTCATTGGCCCATTACTCTTGAGTAGGTGTGTTGTAGTTTCTTATCAGAGAAATCCTCTGTTCTGCAACTTGCCTCAGAAGGCAGAACTTATGCTATCACACCCAGGCTCTCTGATGCTCTGACATTTACTGTATTTGGCTAGCAAGAGGAACCAAAAAATCAGAGACAGGAAGAGAGAAAAGTTTGAGTATATGTTTCTGCTTCTTTCCTGCCTGGCTGTGATTTGGACACCAGCTGTTTTCCACTATCCAAAGCCAGAGTGCTGGCTGCGCCACTCTTAGCATTTGTCTAATTCCTTTACAGCAGCTTTGACCTCACTTCAAGTTCAGTTGCACAAGCAACTCCCCACACTTGGTTCCTGGTGCTTCCCCATCACTTGCAAATCAGCAAAATCTTTCCCTGCTCATATCATAAATATAACGCCTTCATTGAGCCCTATTCGATTAAGCAGTGCATCAACTCTTACTAATAATGTTGGAGAGGAGATTCAGGAAATATGAGCAACAGTGAGAAACAGAATTTCAGTTACATACCAGTAATGCGGCACAAATTGGACCATGGATAATGTAGAGGAGATGGGTATCTGAGCTGATCCAGCAACTGGGGGATAAAGTGAAGATATATATTATGTAGAAGGTTTTCATTTCATTTAGTTCTAATAGAAGTCACAAATGGAAGGTATCTTACTTGTCATTGTAATACAAGCTTCTGGCAATGGCATGGATGCAGGCAGGAAGCAGCGGAAACCCTACAAATAAAGCAAAAGCAAACGAATGGGTATCTTTCCTTACAGATGAGGCTTCTCAAAGAAGTCATGAATATGAAATTCCAAGACACTTTAGTAGCAAAAAGTAATTGGCCACCTATGTTTACTGTGTAACCTCATATGTACAGCCAAGCAATAATTGTGACAAACTACCATGTTTGAATCATTTTGAACCAGTAAGATTCCAGAGATTAAAACCATAATATGCTGTTTCATTCACAATCCTTAAAAATAATTTCTGTATTCATATAATTTCTGTGGGATGAACTTGGCTAATATTTAATAGCAAATGTTGAAAAATTTGAGACTGATAACTATTTCTACTGTAAAACACAAATTTACTGTAAGTCATGTTTTGCAGCAAAAGAGAAAAATATGTTTCTCATACCAAGATTTCTGCATGTTTTGAAGCTTCTAAATAAGATCTTGAAAAAATGAAGTAAAGAAATGTTTTATAGATACAATCGGGATGTACTGACAGCTTAGTATGTGAACATGCATACCTCTTTAAATCTACCTCAGTATCTCCATCTCCATCTAGGTAGATAGCTTAAAAATAAAATGTCTGTTTTATCTCTGGAAACTAGTCCTACTAAATCCATTTCCTACTTATATTATTCCAATGACCTTAGGAAACACAGCAGTATATTTGGCTGTTAGTTTTCATGAGTAGCACAATGGCAAGAGATTATGTGTGAAAGAAGTAGATCTTTTGCATACTTTAATTCAATTATTGACGCCCCTAATTTAATTATAAAATAACAGTTTAAGTAGATCTCGACAGGGCTGGATGTGGTGACACACATCTTTAATCCCAGCACTCAAAAGGCAGAAGCAGGTGAATCTCTTTGAATTCAACCCCTTCCTGATCTACATAGCAAATTCTAAGCCAAAAAGATCTGTTCTCAAAATCAAAGAGACAGAAGGAAGGAAGAAATAAAGGAAGGAAGGAAGGAAAGAAGGAAGGAAGGAAGGAAGGAAGGAAGGAAGGAAGGAAGGAAGGAAGGAAGGAAAAAAAGAAGGAAGGAAGGAAGGAAGGAGAGAAAAAGGGAGGGAAGGAGAAAAAGAATCTCAAAGGTTTTTTTGATAGAATTTCGAAACTACCAATGTCCTCATTTTACACAGAGAAATTCATGGACAAAGGAAATTTAGAAGAGTGCAGAGACTAGATCTTTAATTCATAATTTTAATTTTACTGTTTTAGTCACTTTGCATTCAGCTAGCATAAGCTTGTCACTGGAATATCAAATTTTAGAAAAGGTATCATATTATTAATCAAAACGAGACTAGAGAAACCATGAGTTTTTGACAGTGCTTTACATATTTCAATTTATCACAATGAGGAAAGCCTCAGTTTACATGTTAAGAATGATTGGAGCTAAGTCACAATGACCAAAAGCTAAAAGCCTTCTTAAACAGATGATTATGAAGGTGATGACAGTGGCACTTACCCCAGCCAAGAAAGTAATACCACGTCAAATGCTGCTTCTCTGCAAACACAGCCACCACGATGAGTGTGTGCAGGTAAATGCCTTCACAGAGCATCCAAAAGTAGTTACAGCCCATCAGGTAAAGATGGATGAACTGAGACACCTTACAGCTCACCTGTGACGGAAGAAGAGTGTTTTCTTAGTCTATGAAATCCACACATGAAGCAATTGTCCAGCTGATTTCAGAAACCATGGGCTGTTTCTTTCCCTCACACAAAACTGTGCACACTAGGGACTCTGGCTTGTACAGTGCTCTTTTGAACTCTCATCCCATGATGGCTGTAAAGTTACGAACCATGAACTCTATCAATTCATAAGGATCATGTGATAATCCAAACCAATCTCCCTTTGCTTAGAGGTGTCTGTTTTTCTAATGTGTTCTGGTTATTGTATAATTATGACTATAAACAGTCTACACATACATAACCGCACATCTGTTTGATTGTGGTTGTTGCTTTCAGTTAGAAAAAGTGGATAGTCTTATCTGACTTAATAAAACATGTCCAAATACTTGGCAAGTTTTGTATCCTTCATTCCATAGGCATAAGTAAAACTTACCAAGTCATTCTATAATGAATCTACAAATTACCCAAATATAAAATATGAGGTTTTTTTGTATCAGGATAAAGATAAAGAACTGTGGCTTAGCTTCCTCTTTTCCTTGGGTTCCAACTTTCTCTTCTCTTAGACAGGGAAGAAGAAAGAGTTCCAAATATCAGATAAAGGAAACACAAAGGAGCTGAGAGATAGAAATACTTCTCTTATCAAAGTGGCAATCTTCAATTTCCAGTCTGAAATTCAATACATACTTAGTAGTTATTTAATTTTTTGAGATAAATATTATCTTAGAAACCTAAAGCACTGGGAAATAAGTTTAGAATTATCATGGGCTAGAACAAATAGCATTGCATAAATGTCAGACTAAAGCATTTGTACAGTTATCATTTTACATATTTATCAAATCCATGAATATTTCTGTGAAGCATGCATTTAAAGAAAAGTAGTAGAAAAGTGAAATTATTTGCAAATATTCATACAACATTAATCAGAGCTGCATCCTAAACAAAAGTCAACAATTTTATTTTCATTATTAGAGGTAATAACACCTTCCTAAAGGGTATTTGTAATATCATTTCTTCATTTAGTATGTGTGAAAAACTCATTTACAAATTTTTAAATAGCCAGGTGGTGGTGGCACATGCCTTTGATCCCATCACTCGGTGAGGCAGAGGCAGGCAAATCTCTGTGAGTTCCAGACCAGCCTGGTCTACAAGAGCTAGTTCCAGGATAGCCTCCAAAGCCACAGAGAAACCCTGTCTCGAAAAAAACAAAAAACAAAAATAAATAATGTAGATGATCTTAAATATAACAAGATGATATTCAAGTCTCTCAAAGATAAAATAATTTTTTAACTACATGGTTTGAGTACATTTATGATGTATTTAACCTTTAATATTTATATAAGTATTACATTCTTTTCTAATTCAATTGGATTCTGATACTTTAATCCCAGCACTCAGGAGGCAGAAGCAGGTGGATCTCTGAGTTTGAGGTCATCCTGATCTACAGAGTGAGTTCCAGGTTAGCCAGAGATACACAGAGAAGCCCCATCTCAAAAAAGTTTTTAAATTAAAAATAAAATTAATATAAATTATTATGAGGGAAAGCATTTAGCATATACTTCAGAAAAATATTTCTGTGGAGGGCACTGCTAAGATAATCAGAAAATACTTTTTTCCAAATAAAAAATTCACTGTACTTTAACTCATACTTTGTCTAGTAAGTATATATCCTTATGCATAAATATAAGATTCAGAAACTCTTGCTGTATTACAAAGCGGACCCTCTCATTCCTAGAAAAATTCATTCTGAAATGGCAGAATGCCAGCCAGTGTTTTATATTGCTAATTATATCCTGTTCTGTTTCCTACCCCAGTGACTTTAGAAAGAAACACAAGAAAGATTAAATCACCCGGATGCACATGGGCAAACAATGAGAGAAACTTTAGAACTTTGTAAATTACCCTAAAAACACACATAAAACATATACAAGAGTGTTGTTTATTGACCCATTTGTTGGAAATTCCTTCCCTGCTCTGATTTCAGTAACTAGATAATATAATCCAGAAATCACAACTAAATGTTTCCAAGAGCACACACACACACATACATACACACCACATATTGACACACACTACACACATACACACACATACACACGCAACACATATACACACATACACACGCATACACACTACATACACACACAACATACATGCACACACAGCATACACACACATTACACACATGTACACCATATATTCACACACAACACACATACACACACAACACTTACATGCATACATTCCAGGCTGGAGGGACAGCTCAGCCATTAAAGGCTAGGCTCTCAACCAAAAACATACACAGATGATACATAGACACACACCATATATACACACAGAGTTACTATACAAACACAGACACATACACATCCATATTCAAACTTAGAGTTTTGCCACAATGTAGATGATTCTAAAAGTGTGAATATTTTTGCTATATACATGCATGTATTTGCTCCAAGTATAGTTTACCTATATATCATAAATAATTTATAAACACATAAATTTTACCATATATTTTGAAAATATAGCTTATAGGAAGAAAATTTATCAAGTATATTGAGACAATGATGGTAGAGCATTCTAACACTTTATTTTAGTAAGTTTAACATTACAAACAAAGTACATAAATCCTTATCTTCCTGGTTTTGTTAATTTTTAATGTAAGCCTGATGCCAAAATATTTAAAGTTCCCATTACATATATTGTTTTCTTTCATGTAAGTATTCAGTTGCATTGATTGCCTTTTAAGTTGAATTGAGCAAATGTTGGGTCACCAGAGTCTTACAGGCCAGCAGCATCAGGACTCCATAGCCATGACACGACCTGAAGCTATGGAAATACTGAAGGAAATTTACTTTCCTAGACTATAATATTGCTAAGGTATACTTTCTGTGTGTCAAACCCTAAAGTTTATGTATGTATTTATTTAATGACACATATATTCCATACCAGAAACCACCCCACCCCATGTCTCTTCCCACTGGTTCTCAAAGATACAACTGCGAGTTACTTACAGGATTTGTGGCCACTAAGGCCTGGTTATTGGCCACCGCAGTGAGGTGAATGATTGTCACAATCGAATTACAAACAAATGAAAAGAACAGGTTCTTATGCAAGGTGATCCTTTGGCAGCTTAGGCTCCTACGAGGCAAAAGAAATATACTGTGTTGATACCATAAAATGTTTCTACATTTTTAATTAAACGTAGTTTAAATAAAGTATACTTTCAACTTAAAAGGGTTGCTCTAATTTTGAAAAATTATTTTGTTTATCCATAATTTTCACTTGATAGAAATTATAATTGAGGAAAAACCCAGATGGAAATGAGTTGCTTTAGTAGAGGTGCCCAAATGTAGGGATGGGGAACTTGCCTGTACAACACCTCTGTACTAATTTTGTCTGTTTAATTCAAACACAATTAATATTTTAATTTATTCTGCAAAAGCAGAGAATGAGATTCAGTGAAGTTACATAATCAAGAACATGCCGATAAGGAACTTGAATGCTTCAATTTATCTGAGACTCTCACACAGACAAAATGCCTGTAGTTACACTACATAGTCTGCTTTGTGTATAGACAAGTACATTTTATTGGAGTGGTAATGACTATATTTATTTGACGACTTGTCAGAAACGTAATTGCATTTAAACTAGCTGCATTGATGAAAATTAGAAATTATTAAGGATTGTTTGGTTTTGTTGATTATTTTTCTGATAGCCCAGATGTCCTCAAGACATAAAAAGAAGTTGACCATTTATTATTTATATAAAACAAAGGAGAACTGGCCCCATGAAGGCCATAGAGAATAGATTTCAAAAAGGGGTCATTACAGTTGAGTGAAGCAACATTTCAGATGTAATTCATAGTCAATCTTAGAATTTTTTTTTCCGTACATGAATACCTTGACCATATTCAAGGAAAAATTCCCTTATGAAGCAAATGAACAGTCTTATTTGAGGCTCCAGGTAACCACAACAAAATGAAACCTACATGACACTAACTGCTGACTGGCAAAGTTAAGCACGTGTGTAGTAATGCATGATGCATCATTTCATTGCAGAAAATAAAACCTCACATGTTTTACTAAAACTAATCTAGTCTTCCTTGAGAAACCACCCTACACAATTCCAAGACCTCTACTTTGAAAATTAAAGATTTAGTAAAATTTTGTCGCTTCCCTTTAAATTAAAAAAAAAAATGGAATGTGTCAAAAGTTGGAATTAGAATGGGTTATCAGTGTTTTCCATTTTTAAAAATACCAAGTTTAGACTATTTTTCTTCTGAAATGTTTGCAGCCCTATGGTTCTATATATATAGCTCTACTATTTCAAAGGATGAGGAAGTCAACATAACCCAAACTAATGTTATAGGCTGCCAATACATGCTGGATGCTATTAGTGAAGATTTATAAAAGCTTAATGATGGAATAGTTCTTAAAACAACCATTGAGTGTAGTTGAGAAAGTCATTTAAGAGCAGGTGTTTGCAACCATTTGTAATCCATCAAAACAGGAATTGCAACTCCTGGTTTCATGCTGGAGTCAGTGAACTTGACTTGATATCACAGTGCATAGAAGCAATGAGAGGAAGGCTCAGATAAAGTTTGATCTAAAAGTGTTGAACATACTCTATAGAAAATGGGAATTTTAAAGGAGTAGCATGATCTTGTAATACAAAGAAATTCATCACTGAAAGACAAGCCTATTTTCGATAAAATGACAGCAGTGACATGATTTTGCTAAATGAAGACAACAGATGAATAGGATGTGACTACTTAAAGATACTCTTCTTAAAGTAGCTAGTATTATGCATAATTTATTTCTATAATGTATCACTCTCCTATGATGGAAGTCATGAACATACAACTGTCTGCTGGGAGCTGCCACTGTTTCTATGGAGTACCAAGCACTGTTTAGGGAAGAACTACTTAGTAATGCACGTATTTGCTTCTTTGAGTTATAGAATTTAAGTAAATGAGATACCAGCAAAAAAAAAAAAAATATTTCCCTTAATGGGACTTAGTTTGCCTTTTTCTGCTGAGTATGTCTCTAATCTAAGTCATTGGATAAGATATATATACCCCTTCTTTAAAAAAAAATCATAATTGCCAAATTGTGGTTAAAATTTAAAAAAAAAAAACTTTGCTTGAAGGGCAAATTTGAAGTATTTTAAAATAATGGATTGCAAGCATTAAAGAAGTCTTTTTATATAGTAGCAATACATGTCAGACCTGGGGACTTGGGAGGTCAAGGCAGGAGGACAAAAAGTTCAAGGCTAGCCTGGCTACAGAGGGAATTTCAAACCAGGTTTAAAAGCTTAATGAGATTATATCTCAAAATAAAATTTTTGAAAAATCACTGTGCTAGGAAAATATTTCAGTAGTAGAGCACCCACCTGCACCCACCTAGCATACACAGAGCCACAGGTTTGTCTCCAGTATTGCAAACTGAATAGCTAATTAAAATTAAAACTAAAAATGGTAATACTTGAATGTGGTAGTAAATGAAAGTTGAAAGATAGGATCTGGAAACTATAATAGCAACATTTATAATGATAACATTTAACACATGGTATCCATGTATGAAACTCAAAAATAAAAATATAATATTAAGAGATAATTGTAACCATTGATATTAATGATATGCTCATGAGTAAAGACTGGAAGAAGTTAAAGGGTTAACCTAGCATATAAATGGATTTTGGGAGCCCATTCCACATAGTAGGATACGCTCTCAGCCTAGACACATGGGGAGGGTCTAGGCCCTGCTCCAAATGATATGACAAACTTTGAAGATTCCCCCATGGAAGCCCTCACCCTCCCTGGGGAACAGAAAAGGGATGGGATAGGGGGCTAGTGGGGAGCAGGGGAGGAGAGGGAGAGAGAACTGGGATTGACATGCAAAACAAACTTGTTTCTAATTTAAATAAAAGAAAAAGAAAAAATAAATGAAATTTAAAAAATTTAGGTTGCTCTCTGTACATGTGAACATCTGCCCTTTCCTACACTAGCCTACATGTCTGTTCCCCCTCAGAAATTTCTTTTTCATGTGATTCCTCCTTCACCGATCTGCCTTAAATGGTGAAAACTTAGGAATGAGCCCCTGGTATAGACTGTCCTCTGAAGATATAACTGAGTGTCAGGCTACATAACAAGCCACAGATCTCTTTAGCAATCCTGATATTCAGCTGAGCTGTCAAGACTGTTAGAATAAACTAGATCACTGCCAAATCAGTTCACTCTGTGTTGTGAAAACATACTCCACTGCCTAAAACATTGGCCTTTTGCTTTAGTTTCCTCCATTTCTGCCTCTAGGCACAGCACAGATTAAACAAATGCATACAGATGCTATCTGACATATGGCTTCCATCAAGGTCTAGTGATAAAAAGGTTTCAGATTCAGACAGTGATTCCTATTGTTTCCTTTTAAACATACTCATTAACACATGTAAGTAGATTGGCATAGATAAAAATCAACTTGTAAGTGAAAATTTTAAAACTAATTATTAAACAAATGATTTATGTAAAGAGACATGCTAAAATTTTGAGGTATGTACATATAAAATTTATCCTGGAGACTGCAACTCAGGGCTTTGTAATGTGCTAGGCAAATCCTTTTTCACAGCTAATGACTTTTTTTTTTTTTTTGAGACAAGGTCTTCCTATGTAGTCCTAGCTGGCTTCAATCTCGTTGTAGCTCAGGATGGCCTCAAACTCACAGACACCCAAATGCCTCTGCCTCTGGCTCTAAATTAATTACCCTATTGATATCACAAGGAGGACTACTCTTTTCTGAAATGAAATAAGGGAACAGTGGATTTGGGGGAGGAGGAAGGAGGAGTAGAGGGGAGAAGAGGCTGTGGTCCAGATGTATTTTATGAGAGGAGAATAAAAAGAGAAAGAACAAAAGAAAGAAACAAACAAAAGACACACACCACCATGCCTGGCTAGGGGTATTTTTCAATTATTAATCTATGTTCACTTTTTTAACCTCCAAATTATTACTTTACTCAAATATTAAAAGCAATTAATTATAATCCTTGGAATTATGTTGCAAAAACTCTTGCTGATGTCTTTAAATAACTACCCTTTCTATTTTAGCATAACCACAGAATAAAAACTGTGGTTAATGAGTGCGTATTGTTTCCATTTCATATTCTTTTCTGATAAGTATTTTAGAAAATCATTTCAAGATACAATTTTTGGTAAGCAGAGTTATATAGGCAATTGGTACAAGAATGCCAATCACACCATTCTAATGTGGGCCATTCCAGCTCTCTTTTGGAACAATTTTACAACAGATAATGTCAAGTCAGCACACACAGTCCTGACTGAGCTTCTGAAGCCTGAACCCACCTTACAGCATGTGTTTGAACAACTTTTTACCATTTCTAATCCTCAGACTCCTTATCTACATTACAGGAATCATCATATGATTCCCTTGAGGGTTAAGTATGATAAACTATGATGTATTCAGTACAACCCATGGAGAACACTTATTAATGCTAATTATTACTCTTAACATCACTAACACATATTTTAATTATGCAGTCAATAATTTCCTGGCACAATAGTAAGATGGCATCAAGTTCTATCTCAGTGATTTTAAACTGCTTCAATAGTGAAACAAACATGTTTTATGTCGCTCAACAAAGGAATTAAAAACCTACCATGTTTTTGTTACAGACACAGAAATTTAATATTCAGAAGATAATTTCAGTATGATGAGATCTTAATTGATCAAACAACCTAAATTACTTTCCCAAGGAACTCCATTCTGTCAATATATATCTCCAAACCACTGTGTTTACTATCATGGTGACCCCAATTTTGCTGTTGAATCTTCAAAATTTGGCTGAAGATGTGGTCAAGGACCTTGCCTTCATTTTCCATGAGTTTGCTGTGTAAAAAGAAATCTTAAGCTACTTTTCTCAATATTAACAATCAGCAACATAAAGTATAGAAGAATGGAGCACAGTGATACAACTGTAGCCCTACCTATAGAGCACTACTTCCTTATTCTGGCTTAGATTAAACCAGAATTTGATTGCTGAGTGCTCAGTCACCTCCCATTAAATCATTGGCCATGTATTTGAAAGGGCAGCTCATGGCGATCTGAGTACTAGCACAAATAACAGGCAGA